TGACTCGGGTGTGTGTGTGTGTGTGTGTGTGTGTGTGTGTGTGTGTGTGTGTGTGTGTGTGTGTTTATTGGTGGGGTTTTTACTCGCTTGCTATTCTTGGGCATGGGGGCGCTTTATTTTCCTCTTTCTTCAGGTCTCAGGTTTGCGTGGTGGCAGTGACCGACAAGTGCTTTCTCAGCCACAACCCAGCTGAAAGAGTTAAGGGGGCCGGGAGGAGGAGTGCGCCCGGTAGGCGGGAGAAGGGGGGTGAGAGGATGAACGGGGGTGGGTGGGGGGGTGGGGGACGCGGCCAAGCGGAAACGCCGCACAGAGGAACCTCAGCGAACCAAGAAAAAAGAGAAAGTGGCAACCAAAACAAGGGCAAATTAAATCCTCCTTGGGGATTTCCAAGGAACTAACCCAATTCGGACATTCAATAAAAACACGACTCTTAATGGGGGTGCGTGTGTTTGCACCCCGCACCCCCAGCTGCAGGGTACCGGCCTGCATGCAGCCTGCCGTCCCCAGCCGGAGCTGCAGCCGAGAACGTAACCCCGCGGCCAGTGTGCTTTGAATATAAAGAACTGGCCTGCCTTCTCCCCCATGCATAATTCCTCTACCGAGCTCGCTCTAGGTGAACTCAGTTACTACTGTAGGAGCTCTCCAGCTCAGCAGCAGCCACGCAGCAGCCTCGGCGTGATCTCGAGATTAACTGTAGACGCGAAGCATTTATGTAGGACTGGGTCCAGCTCCTGCTTGCCGGGGTGAAAAGATACCATCGTAGGAACAGATCTAAAAGGCAGCAGTAACCAAAGCCCCAAACAGAACGGATTCTCCCCTCCTTTCCAAAAGGTTCCTTTTTATATTTATGTATGCGTATATGTATATATAAAAGATGGAACACAGATTTCATTGAATAAATCTGAGATCTCCAGGTGCAGACGTTTGAATGGTCGGTGCCAGCACCCCGTGTTTTCCTTTCCTGCCGATTTTGCTTGGATCCGGCTCAAAAACCGAAAGAGTCTCGTGGTTTTGTTTACACTGAATGGGGAGGATAGGAACAGAGCCATGGGGCCGCCTTTCATTAATATACAGTGAGGATTTTGTCTAAATTACTGCTATGAGTCTCACAGTACACGCTTTCAAAAGCCGTCTCAGGTGGCCTGATGAAACGGGATAGCGCCTCTGCAAACAGATCCACTTTCTCTCTTTGCAAGGAGGGTGTGCGCGTTCGGGAAGCCCCCCAAACGCTGTGCTCCTCAATAACAGAAACGCACTTCTGTTCCCAGGTCTGTCCCCTTCCCCCCCTTTCCATATACTTAGTTCTCAAATCGCTCCCCAGCTTCCCCCCCCCACTCCCGCCCCACCCCATCCGCCCCCTCCCTCTGCGGAGTGTGATTGTTTTGTCTGGAAAAAAAAAATCCAAAGTATATAACAAGGGGAGAACAGTTAGTGCTGATTTTCATTTGCATACATTTTCATATATTTTGTTGAAAATAATAGACTAGTGAGGACCGGGCTTAGAGGAGTCAGTGTGAAGGGAAGGCTAAGGATGCGCCGGTTCTGGAGAGTAGAGAATACGCCTTCCTTCTCCTCTACCCCTCCAGGCACCTTATTTAAAAAAAACAAAACAAAAACAAAAAAACCAACAACCTTGTATTTAAAAGTCTAACCTTGGGAGTTGGCTGGGTAAGTGGTTTTTTTTCCCCCCATTTTCTTTGCTTTCTCCTTTTCCTCTGCGTCCTTTCTGGTGTATTTATTTATGTTCTTGTAGGTTTGGAAGCTTTATTTTCATTGCTTGGGAGGAGAGGGGAAGGGAAAGTGTGTCGGAGGGAGTGAGCAAGAGGAATCTGACGTTGCTAAAATAATACATAAAAAGGTGGACCGGTTCCAAAGGCCCTCACAGCAAGAGCTTTACTCTTCTGGGTGAGAGGGAGAGAGAAAGTGCTATTGATTTTAATTGTTGATTATGGGAGGGGTAGACCCCAGAAAAGAGGTGCCTAGTACGCATGGAGTGTATAAATATTTCTTGTTTGGAATTTCCCCCCAGAGAATCAAGGATGAAGAGGGAGAAGCCCGAGGTCTGTGGCTAGTGGGGGTGACTGAATTGTGAGTCTGCCTGGATTAGGACCGGGGAGCAGTAGAGTCCAGTGGAGGAGGGGGCCTGGTAACCGGAGGGTAGAGGGCTAGAGAGGAGGAAGTAATGAGGGAGAAGAGGCAGTAAGTCAATGGACCCCTGGTTAACGCTGCAACTGGGGAGCAGGCGGTGAGCTGCAGCTCCTGGCTCAGTAGTAAAAGCCCATCAGAAAGAGGGTGATCAATCAAAACTAACCAGGACATCCTGCTCTCCACTCCCCAAGGACTCTGGAGCTTCAGCATCCAAAGCACCAGATTTCCCATGTTTTCTATTTGTGACAGTCAGACCTAACCCTCCTTATCACTATCCTCGGTTTTTGGAAAATTCAAAGGTGTACTTACTTGAATAAATATGGCAGAAAGAAACAGCTATGTCCAGTCCAGGCCAGTGTGATTGTCTTACTTTAGTGAAATAGTCTTGGTTTGTTCTTTTGAAGGAAGCCACATTTGGGTGGGAGGGGGTGGGAGTGGGGGTGGGGGTGGGGGGTCAAACGTCTGGAATTATGCTGCACTTTTGGATACAGAACACCTTGCAATTTAGAATTGGTAATTTATTTGGAAACAGTTGATGCTAAATCAATGCAGTGGTTTGTAATGAAGGAGGCAGAGGTGTCAGTTGGGGAGGGGCTGAGAATCACTAGGGTTTCCTCCCCTTGTTTACAGCCTGGCATCTGACTGGGGTTAACTCCGTGTGCTCCATTGGACCAGATGCCATATAGAGCCTGCTCCCTGAAGATCATTTGTTTCCTTGATGGGGAACATTTCTGAGCAGAGCATATTGGTTGCCATAGAGAAAGAAATAAAAGGAAGAACACTAGTCACATTAAGCTATATGTTTGTGCACTGGGCTCTAGATAAAAGACCTTGATTCAGCTAGAGAGGAGAAGAAGCCAAACTAGAGATTTCTAGGACCACTAAAACCAGCTTTATTTTGTTTCGGACTTCTACAGTTGAAACATATAAGCTAATTTTATTGGTTGTTGTTAATTTTATATGACACGGTTTACTGAACAAAATAAACTTTGCCTAGCAATACACTATTGAGTAGTCAGCAGGGGGCGCACTGACTCGTTGTAGCAGGCACTCAGGAAAACGTAGCCAGTTCAAAAGCAAATCTGCCCTTCCGAACTTGCCAGAAGAACGCACCCCTTTACCTTTCTGTGTATGTTCAAGGGGAGAAGGGGAATGGTCGCAAAACACGGGATTTTAAAATACTAGGACTACGATCCGTTCCCTCCCCACACCAGCCATGTCTGTAAATGGCCCAGGAAGACAGAGTGTGGCAGAAATGATTCCCCATTTCTTTCCAGGAAAGTGTGGCTAGGGCTCTGTATAAAATGGGCAGAAAATCAAAAATAAATATAATAAAAACAAAAACACAGAACAGTTAAAGAATTACTGTTATGGTTACATTATAGGCTGCTTAAGAAACTATCTTTCAGGCTGGTAATGATGATTGTCTTTTTGGAATGGACTAGAAAACAAAATGATCCTGAGGTGTTATATGCAAAATAATGATCATTTCAACAGGACACAGTCTCATATTTGGGTATAACTCAGGGTCTTGGGGATATAGCAGGTACCTAGGATCTTTCACTCCATTTGATACCTAGTAGCGATACTAGCTATTTTCCTCGTACTGGTTTTAGAAGGATTTAACAGCTTTGAAAGGTTTTTGTAGAGAAAAGAAAATACAAGCTAGACAGAGGGAGAGGTAACTGTGGACTTGAACCTTTTTAGGGCAGTTAAAGAGGAGTTTTAGTGAAACACAAAAGTTTTTTTGTGCTCCAAGGATTTCTTTCTTTCTTTCTTTCTTTCTTTCTTTCTTTCTTTCTTTCTTTCTTTCTTTCTTTCTTTCTTTCTTTCTTTCTTTTTCTTTCTTTCTCTCTTTCTTTCTTCCTAATGTTGCCAGTGAAAACTGTGGCAAAGGATGAAAAAGTTCTGTAGCAAAGTAGGAAACTTCCTAAACCAGTGAAGGGCAAATCCTAGCTGGTTTTCGAGGATTTATTCAGTTTGTCTCAAACAATTTTCCCAAGGAGATTTAGAGAGTTACTAAGACAGACAAGGCCTGAGTGACTAGGGGTATGGAGCTGGCTTCCACAGCGCAGCTGAAGGCACCTGTGAATGAACGTGTCACAAAGCGTGACCTCTCTGATAGCTCTGCTACTCCTGGGGGGGGGGAGGGGGTGGTTGTTGCCACTGCCTTCTCTTCAACTCAGCTCCAAGCCAACCAGGCTTCAGCCATAAGTTTTTCTTTGAAACTAATTTTAGTAGGTCAGGGCTGGATTGAAGCGCGACTTCGTCTAGTTTGGAAAGACTATAGGAATCATATAAGCAAGAGAGGCACACTTAAACACACTCGAATCATATGATTTTCACCCTGGACCTTTCACATTTGGAGTCAGGAAATGCACTGTCAGGTTTGTGCTAATAAAGCCAAGTGGAGAATTGAGGAAATTGTAATCTGAGCACAAGCGCTGCTTTCTTCCTGAGCTCTGCATTGCGGACAAAAGACATCTAGGGAGATTCGCTGAATGGGACAAGTCCTAAAGCTTAGCTTGCTTTGCATGCCCAGGGTTGCTCAAGGCAGTTAGGATGTATTAGCAGGCAAAGGAACTTTAAAAATTCACTCGTATGGTAAAACACTAGTGAAGCCCTTATGATTCTCTTTAGGGCGCATCCTTGGAGCTGTGATTGTCTAAGCAGCTGCTTTTCTTCCTTTCTTGAAAAATGTACTTGAAAGAACAGGGATCCCTCATGGTCTCTAGAGATTTAGATAACTTGCAGTGAAAGAAAATAAGAATTCTGGGAAAAGCAACAAGTTAATTTGAGATGAGCCGCTACTTTACAGGGACCGTGTTAGAGGTCTGTAATGACTTGGGGATGGGGATAATCAAGGTGGGTATGAATTAAGATCCAAAGTTGTGGGCAAAATCTACAGACTTAAATATTGGTGATGGTGGATTTGTGTGTGTGTGTGTGTGTGTGTGTGTGTGTGTGTGTGTGTGTGCCAAATGAGAGAATGTAGAACATTACCTGGGTCAAATGTGCACAACATGAAATGGATATTTCCTCATTTGCTTCCATTTGACAATGATAAGGAGATCCAGTAAGGCAGCAACATGAAAACAGTTTCTCTTAGCATTATAATATTCAGCTTACCCACAGTCTGTGTTGTGTGATCTACACAAATGGGGAGGACTCTCCAACAGTGGCTTTTGGTTAGAAAAAAGACTTTATCTGTAGACAGTGAATGAGAAGTTTCTTGGTATTGCTAAGGTTTTGGAGCGTGCACCCCCCCCCCCCCCCCAGTCTCTTTGATAAACAAGTGGCTCATCTGACCTGGAGGGAGGGAGCAAATACTTAGGTTTCTTCAGTTTGTTTTGAAGGAGTAATTATGAATTTAAAGAAACTATGATGATTTACTCTAACATAAGTAGCAGCATCCCCCGCCCCCGAAACTACAGGGCATTTCTGATTGTGGGAAATTGAGAAGGCACAGTAACCTCGTCGGTAATCCTGTATGTGCTTTTGAAGCAACCCATTTCCAACTGTTTGCTCACTCTAGCCGTGTGCATGCACCTGTCAGGTCTGGTAATGCTCTCTTCCAATTGCTGGGGAAGCTGCAACTAATGGATTATTCTTGCCTGCCCTTCACCACCCTTCCTGGGCTCCCCAACATCACGGACTTTTTCAGATTTCGACTCCTAGGATTAGGTAACACAGAGCCCAACTGATTGACTAGAGAAGATGGAGAAAACATGGTTCATTAGCAGCAAATGTGGATATGTCCTAGCTTGAAAAAATATGCCAAGGTAAATTGTGTGTGTGTGTGTGTGTGTGTGTGTGTGTGTGTGTGTGTGTGTGTGTGTGATGTCTTATACAAAAACAAAGCCCAGAAATATGAACTCAGCTATACTAGAGGAAGGTCAGGTGTTTGTGTTCTTGCATCGACCCTAAAAGATCTGAGCTGCTCTGTGCCTGAGGTCCTCCTCCACCAGGCGTTGCATGTAATGCATCTAGTTTTAAAGCATCTTCTCTGGCACTGAACCAGTAGTGCTGGGGTAAAAGGAGACTTGGTGTGACATCCCAGAGAACCTGTACTTTGCTTGCATCCTCTCTCTCTCTCTCTCTCTCTCTCTCTCTCTCTCTCTCTCTCTCTCTCATGACATTTGACCTTAGCTACTGTCTGAGGAGCTGGGTGTAGATCGCGGCATTTCAGGCTGAAGGCTAGGTTGCTCTTTTCACATCTCTGCCAAACAATGCTTCTGTTGCTTCTTCAGTCCTGGGATGCTGTTAGCTTTCGTTTCACACCTCTGCTCCGTCTCTGGGGTCCTACCCAACTCAGTGCTTGTCTGGGACAGCTCTACCTTACTGGTATTTTTTTTTTTTCTTCTTCAAGAAAGTGTGGTTGTTGCTATTCACTTAAAAAAAAATACAGTAGCAAATGTATTCACTGAGAGCTGACGCTTCTAATATCCCACAGTGTGCAAGAATATAGTTTCAGCTAATAAACTACTTGATAAAAGTTTAGGTGATAGAATGAAGTGACCTTGCTCACAATGGCTTCCTGCAGCTCAGGCTTAATTCCAAGTTAAAAGTTGTGTGTCCAGTATTGTTTTAATACTCACTCCTCTGCCTAAAATTTCTGCAGGAATCCTAGCTAATAAAGCCCGAGGGGAGAATTCCCAGCTCAGAGTGGCATTTGATGAACATTAAACGTTAACTTAATATCAAACCAGGGCAAAAAAAAAAAAAAAATCACAGGGCATGTGCTGTCAAATGGGAGGACTGTGTTCCCCTTATTTTTACCCACCCCCAAGCCTGATCAAGTAAAACTTTGTTTGGAATAAACGCCATAAAATACCCTAAATTAAAAAATTGTACGATTTTACTGGTAGAGTCTTGGCAGCAATTACCATTCAGGGTTAGAAAGTAAGATTAGAACTTTTTTTTTTCCAGAAAGGTTTGCCCCAGAGACTCAAGCTCCCATTCTCCACCCCCCCTCCATTTATGTGATTTGTGGGAGCCGACAGGGACACTTGCCGAATTCAGCAGGAATCTGTTCGGCCTCAGGGCTAAGTCTGTCTTTCTTAGATCGCATTCTAAAGGCATTTTATTTTATTTAGAGTGCAGTTTGCATAATAAAATCAAAAGGCTCCCATTACTTGCCCCTTTTTGCCAGCAAATACCCAGAAAGGTCTTTCAGAATGTTATTGGAACACAGAGAAGTCTGCAGAAGTCCAGTTATCATTGCTTTTACCATGGAAAAGAAAAGGGGGAAAAACCTAACCCTCAAAGCAAGAAGAGGCCGAGGTAAAAGGAGTGAGGTAGAGAAAAAAGCTGGGCGAGATGGAAGAGACTGGGGCGGGCACAAGAGAAGTGGGAGGCTGGTGAGGTTGCAGGACCAGAGAGATAAACGCTGAGTCAACCCAACAGGTCTTTGGGCACACAGGAGAGAAACACAGAAGTCCAGAAAAATCTGGGTGCAAATCGCACCACCCATCTTCGGGGCCTCCTTCCCGCCTGGCCATCCGAGCGCTGCCTTGGAGCTTGGCACCGCCTGCCTGCCTTTGTCACCCGCTCTGAGCGCGGCCACGAGCTCCCGCGGCGGGCTTTGTTCACGCGGAGCTGGGCAGGACCCCTCGCACCGCCGCCTCCCCGCCCGCCCCTGAGCTGGGGACAGTGGGGGTGGGGAACGTGCAGCAGAAAGGGGGGGACCGGAGAAGCTCCGGTGGGCAGGGCGTTTGAGCCCGGGATTTCGTTTCTTTGCTCCTTTCGTAATTGAGCTGTTCTCCCCTTGCGGAGGGGGTCTTGGTTGAGCAGGAGGCGAAAGAGCTGCAAAGGGGGCGCCCGTTCTCAGCCCATAGCTGGGCAAAGAACTCTCCGCGCTTCTGTCCACCGATTTGTATGGTATGCATGCATGCATGCATGCAAGCATGCAATGATGGATGGATGCATGGTTGGATGGATGAGGAAAACCACTGAATTGGGTCCCACATTCTGGGCTTCTGGTCCGGGTTTTGGCAGCTGCAGGGCGTCTCAGGTTGGTGTGGCTGGTTAACCCCTAAGACGTGCTCTCCAGGTGCTTTGGGGCCGCGGGTGGGCGCTGTGGATATACCTTGGGGTCAAGGAGCTGCACAACCATAGTGCGCCGATCTCTGTTGTGGAGGCCTGTGGCGAGGGACAAAGAAGTAGACACTGGGAGCGAGCAGAGGATACGCGCGCACTGGCATCCACGCACCGATTCGCACAGCGAGGCTCGGGCCCTTCCCCATGTTCACCCCCCCCCTCCCCGCCACCTCCCTGGCGCTTCTGTACCTAGGACTCTGAGTCTGGAAAGTTCGCCGCCACCACGGAGCCCCCCCGCCCCCCTCGACACTGCATTTAGCTAGCAGTGTCGCCCCTTCCCAGCCATCCCCAAAGGTGTGGGCAGATTGCAAGAGTTGCGCCTCTGTTATTGTTTGTCAAACAGGCCCCTTCTCAGGGGAGAAGGTCGAGGGGCGTGAGGCGGATCCTGGGCCAGGATTACATTAATCAAAGCATTATTTCCCCAGAGAAGCCGAGCACAAATGAGAATAAATCCTAATAAAATTGGATCGCAGAAAAACGGAACGCTTTGCGTAATCTGTGCTGCCTGATCAAATTCTCAAATTTATAATATGGGGGGGGGGTGTCTCTACAAAATGTTTCTACACACCCCTGGTCATGGCTTGACTGCTAGGTGTGGGAAAGGCACCCGGACAGGGCGAAGGGGGTTGGGGGTGTGTAATGTATTCACTACTTCAAGCTCAGTTGAACTTCTGCAGTGAGGAGCGGACAGGGCCGCTCGGGTTTAGAGTATCACAAAATCTGGTCAGTTTTACTGAGAAGTCACTTTTCGGGCCGCCAGGTCTGCTAGCTTGGACTTGTCGAAGCCCAGGGTTCGATCAAGCCTCAGCCTATGTCCTTGTAAGGTCCCGAACGTGTTCCTTTGGGAATGTGGCCCCCACTTTTCCATGTGATCGAGGTGGCAGGGTGGGCAATACCCAATGTTTTGGGGGCACAATATTTACAGGGCTCCCTCTCCTCAGCCTAAAGCCCAGCTTGTTTACGAGGCGGCAGGTCACTTTCCACAGCTAGTGAAAGAGTGTGTGTGCTATTCGGTGATAGGCAGCGAAGCCATGCATGGGTACAGCTCTCCCGCCGAGATTTCTAGTACTTTCGGGCCATACTGGCTACGAAGCAGGGTTCATACTTCATCCTCTTGTGTCCCCCAAGTGGTAGAAAACTTTTCGGCGCCTTGTGTGGTTCTTCGAGGAGTGGAAAGAAACAGCGCCCCCTCACCCCCACCCCACCCCAGAAAAAACAAAAAACAAAAAACCAGAAAAACAACCCACAATGATGATATGGCCCCCGCAGAACTACTTGGCCATCAGGCTATCTCCCTTTGCATCCTGCACCCTGGCGTCTTCCAGCAGGAAAACAGGGGGGGGGGGGGGATAGGATTGCTGACTGCTAGGTCTCGCGGCCCAAGACGGTGACTAGAGTGACAGAACCATGCCGACCCTTCTGGAAGGACCTAACCTTGTTGCTCTGGGGATGGCCGCCTGGCCCAGCGGGGCGCCACTGTGAGGGCGCCCTCTGCAGGCGTGCTCGGAGAGGGCCCGCGCTCGTGCCCCGCCGCTTAGGGTCCCTCAAACTGCCCCCGTGCCAGTCGGGTCCCCAAGCGCGCGCTCGCACAGCCCCAACCTGGCAATGCGACCAGGCACTCAGTGCCCTCTCCAAGGCGAGTTCCCCGTGGCCGCGGGAAAGAGCTACCAAGGTCTGCACCACTCCCTTTCCAGACCCACGCTGTCCCCTCCCGCCACTACACGCCCTCCACTGAGAATCCCCTGCTGCCACCTGCCACCGTGCGTCTTCGATCGCGGCCCACGCACTCCAGATCCCCCAGTGCCTCTCTGTCCCTTTGCGGGGCTCCGCCGGGCGGGGCAGGGCCGCCGCCCCTCCGAGGGGGACGTCGCCCCACGGTCTGGCGAGAGGCGCTGCTGGGAGCAGTGTGCGTGCGCGCGTGTGTGCGTGTGCTAAGGCGTGTGCGTGTGAGTGAGGCGCGCGCGCCGGGCAGCTCGGGGCAGGGCAGGGCAGGGCAGGGCAGAGCGTGGAAAGGCAGGACAGGAGGCGCAGCAGGATGCTCTGTGCTAGCTAGTCGGTTTCCGCCAGTGTGGGTGCCTATGAGAGTCTAGAGTCCTCCGTCTGCCTTAGGCTAGTCCTCTATCTACTGTGCGTCCTCTCTTTCGATTAGGTCATCGCTGCAGATCCCCAGAGATCTCCCTTGTGATTCCTCGTGGTTCCGGGGCTGTTATGGACAGTCGGCCCCACGTGAGCCAAGGTAAAGCTGACAGGGACAATACTAGCTGGAGATGTAACAGACAGTATCAAACAGCTTGCTCTTGCTTTACACTGGGGTTCATGCATCCAGAAGCCACGTTTCAGGAAGTCCTTGGGGTAGCTGTTTTCTTTGTTAGTCCTGAAGATTTTTGGATAGAAGTGGTTTTTATTTGTTTGTTTGTTGTTTGCTTTTGTTTTTGGAGGAATAGGGAGGAGGAAGGACCTGGTGGTCTTCAACCCATAACCGTGGTGTCTTGTGCACTTTTTCGACTTCCTGGCTTCTTTCCAGTAATGGGAAATTTTAGAAGGAAGTAAGGACACCTACCTCTTTTCCGTTCTGAAATAATGACTCCCCATTCTTCTAGTCTGTAATTTCTATAATTTCATACAAAGCAGGGGCTGTCAATTATCTCTCCAGGAGAAAAGAGTGGACCAGTTGAGGGGAAGTTGGGACAAAATAAATTCCTCTCTCTTAAATCATTAACCAGGAACTCCTTCCCTCTCCTTCCTGTGTCCCATCCAGTTTGTTCACTTCTCAAGGGGAGACAGGACAGGGACATTTATAAACACATTAAAGAGTTTCTTCTCTTCTGGGCTGTGAACATAAATGTATTTTTGTAACTCGAGATTTCTGAAGATCATAGGAAAAACTTCATGGACCTTGCTTGCCCCTGGCCCCTGTTGCACGATATTTGCACCCAAGGTTTTCTAATAACTAAGAAACACCTTTGGCATCTTTTCAATAGGAATAAGATTCCCTTTCTTCTGTTTTGAGCAGCTGCTGCTAGCCATAGAAGTTTGGTCTATCGTACATGGGCATGCCCTATGCAAATGTATTCAGTTGGGATGTGTATAGATCTTGTGATGTACATAAACATGTAGGCTTGCGCATATGTATGTTTACATCATGTGTAAATATGGCATACATCAATTTTTTGGATCTACTTAATATTAGATGATCTTACTAGGGGGTAGTTCTTGGAGACCTCCTGTCCAGCAGAAAACCTCTGAGTAACTGTGACACACACTAGCCTACCCCAAGAGGCCATCACAGACAGCATCTTGATACAGTGTCAGTCAATCCTTTTCATGAGACAATTTAGAGAGGACCACATTTTAACAAAGCATGTTGATGGTGGGCTGTTAGTGTTTCAGTGGATGAGCTTTTGTTTGTGAAATCAAAGTTAAGTTTTTCTTTGAATTATTTATCAGGATCTTTGCCCACAGGCTTTCCTAGGAGAAGGTAGATACAAAGGGGATGGTTCCACTTTTAATTATTTAAAGCAGATGTTAACATAATATTTTAAAACTGGCCTTTTGGAAAACAGGAAATAATCATGTCTGTCAACACCCACCTTTGGGACTGTGAAAAACAAAACCCAAAATACAAGTTAAAGGCTTTCGTTAAAAAAAAAAAATACTCAGTTAACAGTTAACTAAAATATTGCCTGGCACTCCCTCGAAACTCCTCCTCCTCTTAAGTATAGTACAGTTTGGTAATATACTCCACATATTTACACACGATGTAAATATACAGATGCACAAGGGTAGATGTTTATGTACAGAACATAACAAAATATATACATACCCCAACTGAATATATTTGCATAGAACATGCCCACGTGCACCACACCGAAGTTCTATGGCCAGCAATGCGTGAGACAGCAGTGACTCAAAACAAGAGGAACCGAGAGTCTCTGATACTGAAACAAGTCAAAATTTCTTTTCAAACGTGAATGGGGCTTCCGGTAGCTGAAACCCCAGAAAAGAATAGATTCCTGGTACTATTTTAAGCACAGCCCATTTAAAAGTACTACGTACTTAAATAACGTGTTTTGTGTAAAATAAAAATGGCAGCACTTTTTTAAAAAAGGCACATTTAAAATATAAACATCCCATCTAAAGACAGATACTTTTTTTCCCTTTTGTCTTTTTTTATATATTAAATGCTATTGTCTTAGATCAAAAATTAAAACTTGATATGATGAAAAAAAGAGCAAGAGTCTTATTTTATTCTCTCCACTGTAAGGAAACCATTTTTAAGGAAGTTATTATTCTAGGCCTCTCTCTGTATTAGACGGGAACCCGTAGGAGAACACTGTTCAAGAAGTATATTTGAAGAATGTATTTGCCCTTGAAATGATTTTCGAGGATACGGAGTGACGTATTATATACTTGCTTCTTTTAAGTGGTATTTTGAATCTTCAGATTTTTTGGAAACCTTTTTTTTGTTGTTGTTGTTAAAGATTACCGTCAAAATGAATATATTGACATTCGTTGGCAGGACTCCAAATGCTCATTTGTGTTAAACAAATGTAAAGAAATGTCGGACCTGAATTTTCTCTATCAAAGTCCTGGTTGAAGAAATCAAAATGATAAAGTTTTGAAGTGATCAGGGACTTTTTCATGAATGACTTATTTACACTGATATTATAAAATAATCTTGAGTTTTCATGTTTATATAAAAGTACATTTGCCTTGCAAAATATATATGTTCGTGACAACATTGTTTCCCTAGTGCAATTTATTGCTATTTATTTGGAAGAGCACTTAAAAGGCGTATGCCTCATCAGTGATCTCCAAATATTATGACAAATATGTGAAATAAAAATTATTTTACCCCAATATTTTTTTAACTTTTACTCTTAATATCCTCAGAAGTTCAAAATTAAAATGGTGGCAATAACACATTAAAAATAAAAAAAACATTTTTCTCTAGTTAGAAGTTTAAGATGAGTTGCACAAAAGTCCTTTTTTTTTTTTAATTTGGGAAAGTTTTCTATCTGCTGCTGTGGTGTGATCTGAGGACATGGGGCTATGCACTAAGTTAAGACTGTGAAATGTTCATTCAAAAATTCATCTGAAGAGTCATTCACCACAAACATGGGAAAATAACCTTTTCTGTCAATTTAATTAATGAAGTGGGTAAAGAACTAGTTAGCAAGCTCAAATTACACATGTAGAGAGATTTGTAAGAATAAAGGCTTTGGCATTCAGGGCCTAAAAGCAGACAACTATAATATAGCAAATAAAAAACCCCCAGAATGTAGGCATCCAAGATTCCATTTCATTAAAGAATTTGGCAGTTAAAGAAAAGAAGGAAAAATGCTTATTAAATCAGGGTAACTATAAAATGTTGACAGATCTCAAGTTTCATATCCAACTAGGCTCATAGAAAACTGCAGGGTGTTGGTGGAATAGAAGTTATTCTGTCAAACCATTTTTCATAAAGAATTATTTTTCTCAATGCCCTCAAATTTCAACTCAAATTCATAGACTAATCTCTCTCCCCTCTCTCTCCCCTCCCTCCCTATTTTCCTCTTCCAGAGCTCTCTCCTCATCTTCCACATCAAGTCTGTAAGCAGTTGGGTGAGGTGTGTAGTAGGGTTCAGCAAAACCTAGGGAGGGATGAGGTCTTCAGCCTTCATCCTCCATATCAGTGGTACATGTCAGTTATCCTAAGATGGGTCTGGGACCTCTCAGAGAGTTTCTTTTCTTCCTCATCCAAGTAACAGCATTTTTTTTTAAAGAGATAATGCCATGTTCAGGCAATGTCTGAAAAAAGGCAAAATAAACTGGAGAACTGAGTTGATTATTTGTATAATTCAGGTATGTCTGCCTTCCCTTTCCCTGCGCTTGCTATTAAGAAAAAAAAAATAGTGAAAACTGTACAATCTAAATTTGCTGTCATAGTGAATTTGGAAGATTTGGGCTAAGTTTGTAGCTATGGAGTGATGATGCCTCCTACTAGCAATGTCCACAGAGATGGGCATACACCCCTGCACAGAGCTGAGATTATGTGTCTGCCAAGACATTTACCCCAGACTTCAATAAGGAGGATTGAGGGGCCCAACTTACCAGACTTTAACTGTGGACACTGGTTGAATTGTTAGGTAACTGTTCACCTTTCTACTTTGACTCACGAAAGTACACATGCACACATTGTAGCACGCTTTGGTTGTAAAGGACCCAAATGGGAACCCTAAAATTGTTTATGTTAAGCTGTGAATTATTATTATTATTATTATTATTATTATTATTATTATTATTATTATTATTTTTTTACCATTTTACTTGTAATGCATTTGGGTCTTCGTCTTGTTGGATGATCTGACTTGGAAACATTTGTTGAACTAACCATCCGGGCTTTTCTGGTGGTGGTGGTGGGGGACAGTTTTCTTAGTGTAATTTGGTGATTTGAAGGTGCAGCCCCCTTCCTTTATGTAGGGGACAAAGTTGAGAGTGGAGAAAAGACAAGGTTAATTATTGTGGGTGGCAATGGGGCTGGGGACAGTTTAAGGTGGTTAGTAGAATAGCATGGCATTGAACAGACATGGGTTTAGCTAAAGAACATTAGTAGACATTAATTACAGGTGGTTAAAAAAAAATCTCATCTAACTGCAAATATTGTTGAAAGAAAGGGCACCTGGACTTTCTGTTGATAAACTTTGCTTTCCTTCTGAAAATCTCCTGAAGAATCGTGTCCCTTCGCCCTGCAGTCCTCCAATTAAACAAGCTGAACACTGTTCCGCCACACACGGCGGGAACACTGCAAGGTAAATAAAAATGTGTGCTAGAGGAGAAGAAAGCCTGGCACATTTTATTTTTGTTACAATCTCTGGAGAGAGGAGGCTGAGTGGACTATGAACTGGTAATGCTG